CGCCCGCCCGCCCCGGGCCCGCCGCGGCCCGGAGCCCCGGGTTTGGCCCGGCCCGGCTCGGCCCGACCCGGCCCGGCGGGCAGGGAGGAGCCCCGCCACAAGATGGCGAAGGCGGCGACGGGGCCATTGTGCCCGCGTCCCGGGCTGCGGGCCGCCTCCCTGCGCCGGCGCCCGGGCTGCGCCGCCGTCCCCCGCCCGCCGCGACCCCCGGTCCCCCGCGCCGCCCGGGATCCCGAAACCCCGGACAAAATGGCGAAGCCTAATATGGCCGTTCGGAGTGATTGACGCCCGAATAACATTCTCTCTCCCTGTCTCTGTCTGTGTCTGTGTCCTTGTGCGTGCGTTTCTTTTCGTTTTCTTCCGTCCTTTCTGTTTTTGTTTTGGTTTATCGTTTTCAGACCGAGTGTGTCAGCAGCCAGGACTTTCTCTCTGGGTCCCCTTCCAAAACGCAGCCACCGCCGTCACCAACCTCTACAAAGGTAAAGATAACCTTGCTGCRTGGCCGGTTGAGGGGAAGGGCGGCCGCGTCGGGCGAGTGTCCCGCGTTCCCAGGGGGGTTCCGCGGCCACTGGAGAATGTCGGTGGTGTCCTAGAGCGACTGCAGGCGGTTTTGACACCCCCCGACGCCTTCCCCGTCCCCTAGGGACACATGGCAACACCTGGGGACGGTGTTGATTGTGAGAGGGTGCTGCAGGGTTTCCTCGCCGTGCAGCTAGGACTGTCTAGCTCTCAGACTCAGTCGTGAGTTTGTGAAGCCCCGAGCTGGAACACAGATTAAGACCGTGCTTCTCGTTGCAAAATTCAATAAAGGAAGAAAAGAATTTTTTTTCTTTTTTTTAAATCAGAGAAGTGGGAYCACCCCGGGAAAAATTCTTGAGCAATTTAGAGCAAGGTAGTTTGGCATTTAAGTGCTATGAAAACGTGCTAATTGGACTCTGCCTGTGCTTATTTACATGCTAGCAATTTATCAGGTATTTTTCTTTAGAACTACCTTGTGTCTGTGAATTGTTGGCAGGAAATCTGTGATCAGTTTTTAATAGCTTTGTGTTTTATGGTGCTGCTTTTCTGAAGTACATTTTCCCCCTTTGAAKAAATGAAGGTATGTAAGTGAACGTTTCTGCCCGTTGTGCTCTCCTGACAACAATGGCTTTAGATGTTGTGCGTTAAAGATACAGAAGATTTGGAAATTCGGGTTTGATTTTTGGCATATTTTCTGTGGAAAAAGGATTTGGCATTAACAGTTGATCTTAATGAAAATGTAATGAAATTGCATGTTTTCAAACAGTAATGGAATTTAGTGCATTTAAAAAGATAATAGGCTGAAACAAGATGTGGACTACCTCCTTATTCTCAGATTCTTATTTTTGTGTTAGAAGGCTCAAGTGGCAGCATTTTGTAGGATGAAATCCCCTATTGTGAGATTTCTTTAGTAGACTTTGTAGTTCTGGGGGACAGTAATTTTGAGAGCTCTTAACTGAAACTGGTCAGTAAGAATGTTAATTTTAGGGAATGAGGAACTAATAGTCTAGCCTTATACAGAAAAAGGAAACAGTTTAAATGGTGCCTTGGTAGTCAACTTTGGTTTTTATGTAGCTGAGTTTCATCAATTTTGATTACTGAATAAATTGCTTTTTAACATCCATCAGTGCTTCAGGGTCTTTGGTGTTCTTTTTGAAAGGGCTGTTGGTTTTATTTGGAAAGGGAATTTGAAAAATATACACTAAAACTCAATTTTTAAAAAACTTGAGTTTCTTGGAGTACAGTTTACATACAGTAAAATCATTTGTTTAGGTGTATAGTTTCACTTGGGCAAATGTGTATTACTAACAAATAGAAAGAATTTTCCCCACCTCAGATCCAGGCACCCACTGATGTGATTGCTGTGTAGATTTGTGTAGTTTCCCCTTAACAGCCGTATAATTTATTATTTTGTGTCTGGTTTCTTCCACTTAACGTATTGTTTTTGAGTGCACATTGCAAGTACAGTAAGCTTTTTAACAGCTGAATAGTGTGTTGTATGGGGGTACCTTACATGGTCTAGCTTGTTTCAGTTAACATTTTGCTTGAAGAGGAAGGCAAGGCTCTTAGATAAGACCTATAAATACAAATATTCTCTGGTTTTGGTGGTGTTGTATACTGATAGGATGTATACCTCTAGGACTATAGCTAGCAGTTTTCTTTAAAGCTTATTATTCACTTTTTTTTTTTTAATTTGTTGGTACTTATTTTGGTTTATTCTGAGAAAGGATTTCACTAAGCTGCCCAGACTAATTTTGAGTTTTGAATCCTCCTGCCTCAGCCTCTGGAGTTGCTGGGATTATAGGATGTGCCACCATGCCCCCTGCTAGTGCTAACTATAAAGAAGAGGGGCTCAGAGGTTGGACTCTGAAATAATTCTTAATTTGATTACTTCATTTGAAAGAGCTTCTAATTTACTAGTTTTTTTGTTCAGAAATTTTAAGGGACATTAATTTTATTTTAAATAACCCATGTAGTTCCTGGATTGTATCCTGTTCCATAGAAKGAAACTTCCCTTTTTACCTAACAGGAATAGATATATTGTATTTAGTGGAATTTGGAAGTGTAGCAGCATCTTACTTTTTTCCTATTTGTTGCCAGAAGAGTGGATGAGACTCTGCAGATGCTTACACCTTTCCTCTATAAGGTGTGGTCTTAGAGAACAGGCATACAGCTTTGGGGATAATCAGGTACCTTAAATAGAACCAATAAAATTAGCAGRGTAGTGTTACAAGTGCATGCAGCATTAAATAGTGGTAATTTAAATGAAATATTTAACTTGGGGATTTCAGGAAATCCTTTAAGTGGGCAGGACTCCTAAATTTTGTATAATTAAATATTTATCTGGCAAACTAAAACTGGCTCATTTTGCAGTGTGAGGAGTTTGACACTTGGATCAGCTTCTTGCAGTTTCTTGATAACTCCTACAATGAGCATGTAGGAGTGTCATAATTGAGGTTAAAAACCTAGCAGAGGATCCCTTTTCATTGCCAGTAGGATTTTGAAAAGTTAAACTTTTGTTGCTTGGTTTGATTGGAATGTGGCTGCAAGGATTTGGAAAAAGAAGTTGGTGGTGTCCCCTCATTGAGSACAGAATTCAGTAAAATGAGTGCATTGTCCTCCAGATGGTAGGGGCAAACTTTGGTTTCATTTGTCAAGGAAGGGAAGGAAAATTCTGACTTTTGGTTCTTGGCTTTAAAAATCCAGAGGATCAAGTTTCTTCAATATCATTGAGTCCCTGGCTTAGTATGTTTTTTAATGTCTGCTGCTAAAGAGGGAAGTGAGAAGTAACTGAGTTGGTTTTAATCTAGCCWGTGTTTATGCTTATCTTGGCCAAGCCTATGTTTGCTTTTTTTTTTTTTTTTGCCCCTGAACTGAAGAGGGAACCCAGGGCTTTGTGCATGACAGCCAAGTGCTTTAATGCTGAGCTATACCCCAGCCCTGTGTTTGCTTCTCAGTCTACCTCTTTATTTCTTGGGTGACAGGTTTCAATTTCTGTCTCTGATTCTTTGTTAGGAAAGTGTTTTTTTTTTTTTTTTAAATATTTTTAATATTTATTTTTTAGTATTTGGCGGACACAACATCTTTGTATGTGGTGCTGAGGATCAAACCCGGGCCGGAACCCGGGCCGCACGCATGCCAGGCGAGCGTGCTACTGCTTGAGCCACATCCCCAGCTCCAGGAAAGTGTTCTCTTTATCTAGTTGTGAATTCATTTAGTTTGGAGCTGCTTGTTTTGTTCCCTAGATTTGGACTGATGGTTGTCCTTCAGGCAAGGCCCTGCTAAGTAGCCTCCCAGAGCAGCCTGACTTGGGAGCCAATGCTTGATCACATTCCATAGAGTTGCTTCCCTCATTGTTCTTTCTCAGCTTTTTATTGTTTTTTTCTTGATTATTGTTTTCTTGGTCTTTACATTTTGAAAGTGTGTTTGAAGCATTGGTTGACTAGAGCCCTGTGACATCCATTGAGAGCTTTCTCTTAATCCTGTACTTACTAAAAGATGTTCCTAGGAAAGGAAAAGAAAAGATGCTTCTGGGTATCTTCTTTAATGTCATTTACCCCCAGGTGTCTTGTGCTCTGGCAGTAAGGGTTAGCTTTATTGTCAGAATTGGAGTCTACACCAGATTATATGAGTTCATGTCTTGGCCCTGTGCTTATCTGTGTGTAGTCCTGGAGACGGATATTTGAGCCAGGTGTTTCACCGTTGTGTCCATCAGTCATCTTAATATAAGTGGGGCTAGGTACCCCAAAATTATAGCTCTTAGTTCTGTTCTTGGTATATAGTGAGGGCCCAAGTGTTGATTGTATTGGTAGTTAAGTTTTAACTATTTCTCAGATGTTTCTCATGTTGAGCAGTGATTAACATGAAGGGAGGTTTATTTTGTCTTCAGATTTTTTTTTTTTCTCATGTTGGAATAAGGTTTATATATGTTTGTTCCTTCTTTATCGTCTTTTCCTAAAAGGGACAAACATAAATAGAAGTAACAGGTGAGAAAAAGAGTGTGATGTACATCCAAGTCCTCTAATATGGTGCTCTAATTCAAATGTGGCCCTTTTGAACTAAAAGGTCAAAGGTGAACAGAAACGAATGTGTATTTGTGGGCCAGCTGGTGGGTGACTATAATCGGTCAGGGAGATAGATGGCACTGGTTTGTGACACTTCTTGGCAAAACTTATTATTGAGCTTTGAGACTTCATAATACTTCAGTGTAGACTATGGTTAGAAATTTAATCTCTGCCAGAAGGGTGGTGCATGCATGGCTGTGATCCCCAGCTACTTGTGGGGCTGAGGTAGGGGGGTCGAAAGGGGAAGAACAGGGATTGGAGGCCAGGCAGGCAACAATCCATGGCTGCTCTGATTCTCCCCTGTTTTTGTCCTTTGTTCTGCATGCCAGGTGAAGATGAAGTAAATGTAAAAGAATGGAGAAGGTAGTGTGTAATTTTGCATTACAGTTGGAAAAAGTTTTATTTTGGCTTTGACTCAGACCTTCAGGTTCCTAATGAAGCATTACATTCCCCCTCACACTCCCTAGACTGGATAGTATAAGTTTAATTAAAGGGAAATATTTTGTAGTGGGTAGTTTTCCTTAGACGTATACCAGCAGTATGCTGTTTGTAGATTCTCTAAGGAAAATGAGAGAGAGCTTTTTCTTTTGCTGGGGAGAACAATAGGTTGAAGGAATGCTGCCATTTGCCCAACTTTGGAAAAGGCCTTTTGAGCCTCGTTTATTGTTTATGATATTGGATTACCTTCTTGGATTGACTTAGGTGAAGTTCTTTTTTTTTTTTTTTGGTCAATGGACCTTTATTTTGTTTATATGCGGTGCTAAGAATCGAATGCTAGGCATGTTCTACCACTGAGCCACAACCCCAGTCCCACATAAAGTTTTGTTATCAAAAAACATTAAAGCTTTGTAAAATGCATGCTTAGCATGCTCCATGCCCTGGGTTTGATCCCCAGCTCCAACTGAATATGTCTATATATCAATGTAAGAAAGTGCTGCAGTTGATATTCACCTGAGAATAATGAGATTGTGTGCACTCTGCCCCTACTCCATCCTCCTGCAGTCGTGTGAAGAGTTCTGAAATCCCTTGTTCCTATTCAACTTCTTATATAAAACATTAATAAAAAGTTGGACATATCCTGTGACTATTGTATAAATCAGTTTCTTGTTTGTTTTAAGGAGATCGATGTGGTGTTAAAGGTTAGATTGACATTTTGATACCCTTGGATATTCACCTAAAGTTTGAGTTTATGGCTCTTTTCCACAGTGGCTTTGGATTTGGTAAAATAGGTTGGATATAAGACTGATGTATGGTTTCTGTCCTTTGCTTTTTTGGGCCAGGGTCCCGAAGTGTCTGCACTTAGAATTTGGGTGTCCAGTGCCAGTGCTTTGCTGAGTCTTCAGGAAGCTACCTAAACACAACTTTTTTTGGGGGGAGGGTGCTACCAGTTATTGAACTCAGGGACATTTGACCTTTGAACCACATCCCCAGTTCTATTTTGTATTTTATTTAGAGACAGGATCTCACTGAATTGCTTGGCCTCTCGCTTTTGCTGAGGCTGGCTTTGAACATCCTCCTGCCTCAGCTTCCCGAGCCAATGGGATTACAGGTGTGCACCATGATGCCTGGCTTAAAAACAACTATTTTAAATGCTCTAGCGCCAACAGGAGACATTCTATTTAGGGGAAATAACCAGGTTTGATTAATTTAGGTGGTAAAGTGATTGGGCTTGGCTTTCAGAATATGCTGTTAGTGCTGCCAAACCAAGTTAAGCCCAAATAGAGCAAAAGCATGTACCTAAAACCTTAAATATTAGCTGGTCATGTAATCCCAGTAGCTCTGGAGGCTGAGGCAGGAGGATTGCAAGTTCAAAGTCAGCCTTWGCAACAGTGAGGCGCTAAGCAACTCAGACCCTGTTTCTAAATAAAATACAAAATAGGGCTGGGGATTTGGCTCAGTGGTAGAGTGCTCCTGGGTTCAATCCCTGGTACCCGCCCCACACACAAAAAAAGACTAAATATTTTCTGATTTTTCTCTTCCTTSTAGTCCATGAATTAGTGTTTAAAAAAATGACCGATTTTTATCAAATTCTTTTTCAAACAGTTCAAATGTTGAGACTTGGTCAAAAATTTTGGTGCAATGATTGGTTAACTGCATGATTTATTTATTCTACTTTATTATTATTTAGATTTTTGGTACCAGGGATTGAAATCAGGGGGGCATTTGGCACTGAGCCACATCCCCAGTCTTTTTTATTTTTCATTTTGAGGCAGGGCCTTGTTAAGATGCTTAGGCTGGCTTTGAACTTGCAATTCTTACATTATAGGTCTGCCTCACTGCACCTAGTCATCTGCATAATTTCTTAAAGAAGTTCAAAACTTGTTGATTTCTAAACCAGGCTGATAGTGATAGTGTGTTTTCCAGTGTTGTTCAAAACCTATGTTGAGAGCATCAGCCCTGCATCTGTCAGTTGGGACTTTATTTTGGGGTGTGTGTGTGTGTGTGTGTGTGTGTGTGTGTGTGTATTGCTGGCAAAAAGCTCTATCACTGAGCTGCATCCCTAGCCCTGCTGGGACTTGGGTCCTTAATCAGAAGAGTCCAAAAACTTGGTCAAGCCCTTTGTTCCTATGACTGGTCTTTAAAACCATCTCTTGTGACCCCCTACCTTTGATCAAGTTTTGTATCAAGCTTAGGCTCTCTTCCTCTTTTTCATGCATGCGTTCTTTCATTTTTTTCCCAATTCTGGGCCTATCTCCCTTTTTTTTTTTAAATGGAGTTTGAACCCAGGGGTGCTCTACTCCTCTGAGCTATGTGTCCTCAGCCTTATTTATTTTTTTGTACTAGGGATTTAATCCAGGAACACTTAAAAACTGAGCTACAACCCCAGCCTTTTTATTTTATTTTGATACAGTCTCACTGAGTTTCTTTAGGGCCTTGCTAAGTTGCTGAGGCTGGCCTCGAACCTGCAATCTTTCTGCCTTCACCTCCCAAATTGCTGAATTAACAGGTGTCTGCCATCATGGTGGTGCCTGTTCACTAAATGCCAGGCTGACCTTGAACTTTGGATTCTTCTGCTTAAGCTTTCTGAGTATTGGGGATTACAGGTGTGTGCTACCATGCTTAGCTTTTATTTAGTTCTTGAAAGATAGTTTTCTCACTATTGGGAGGCAGAAATGAAAAGTTATAAGATTGATTGAAAACAGTTTTGGGTAGAGCAGGTTTGTAAAAACCTGACTGTTTCTATGTTTGCCTATTTTTTTTTTTTTTTATGTATCTTTCTGTGGGTGCCTGGGATAGGCTTAGCTTGCTCAATGATTTGATTTCCTTTAAATGACTCCAGCTCTTCGAGAATTTTTGAGGACTAGATACAGCTTTCCAAGGTCATGATAGGTTCATCCATCCATCTTAAGGTTGGCTTTCCTGTAAGTCGTTTCTCCAAGAGATGAGAAGGTGGTGTTTTGCCCTCCTAGCTGTTTGCCTTTGAAATGGAGTTCACTTCTGCTTTGTGAGTGGTGAAATGAGCAATTATTACTGTGTCAAGCCACTATTCTAGCAGAGACACTGTAGAAATGGCTTAACTCTAGGGCTACTTTTATATATGCAGAATTGGGCTAATTGCCTTCTCAGCAATGGAGGGTAAGTGAGAAGATGTGAAAAAGTGTTGTATACCACAAGYTCTCAGTGGATGTTGAATTCTAGTCCTGGTCCTTTTCATTTTGAAGTATAAAGAAGAATCCTCCCATGGACAGCCTCTTCATTTTCTTGTTGATCTTCAGCATTAAAGGTTGGTCATCTGCTAAGGGCTAGGCCTTGCTAACAAACAGTTCTGCTTGTTTTGCCACACTCTTGTCATCTTACTTTTTTTTTTTCTTTTTTGAGGGGGTGGTGGTACTGAGGATGGAACCCAGGGCTTTGTACTTGTTGAGCACACACTGCACCATTGAACTGTACTCCTAGTCCTTTCTTTTTTAATAGTTCATGTTCATTGAGCTTGGGAGCCTATCCTCTGTGATGTCTTGATTATTGTCCATTTTTCTGGGACATAGCTGTTCATTGTGTGTTGCTTTTCCTTTCAGACTCTACCCTAGATGTAGCAGACATAGAATTAAAATAATTAAAGCTAGGAATGGTAGTAGAGAATGTGTCTTATTGCTTTTACAGAAGGTTCAGGGATAAAGGAGCCATCTTGTTCAGTGTTATTTAAAGACATGCAAGTGATTTTGTGCTAGCTCAGCAGCCAACTAAAAGTAAATTGCAGTGACTTGAATTTTCAAACATTTTTGTCAACTAGATAAAACCATTAAAGGGCAGGGAGTTTTTCATTAGATATCAGGTTCCTCTTATGAGGAGTTAAGATTGGGAATTTTAAGGMAAGGGAATGATTGTGAATTAAGCTACTGGGAATTGGAAGAAGGATGAAAATATACCACAGCAATTAATGAAGCTTCTTATTTCCAACTGCTCTTGTTTAATTTTTTAATTTTTTATTATCCTTATTTTTATGTGGTGCTGAGGATTGAACTTGGTGCCTCACRCATGCTAGGTGAGCGCTCTACCTCTGAGCCACAACCCCAGCCCTCCTGTTTGGTTTTTGTGTAGAATAAAACTACAGAATTAATTTTCCCTTCATCTTTCTAAACCGTTTGCTGCAGCCTTGTGCTAACCCTTCCAGTTGGGGTACATCTCAAGTTACATGTGATATTTAGGCATCTGATGCCACCAACATTTTATGAGAGAGAGAGAGAGAGAGAGAGAGTGTGTGTGTGTGTGTGTGTGTGTGTGTGTGCGCGCGCGAGGATTGATCCCAAAGGTGCTTTTTACCCAGGGAGTTACACCCCTAATCCCTCTTGTTTTGAGAATAGGGGCTTGCTGAGTTGTGGACTGGCGGTGAATTTGTGATCCTCCTGCCCCTCAATCTTTGAGGTTGCTTGGTTATGTGTATCAGCTCCTGGCTGAGGATTTGCTCTTCTGAAGGAAAAGCAATTTAACTTAGTGGTCTCATAGACTTTGGAGCAAAATTCTAGCTCTTCTGTGTGTACTGTGACCTTGAAGGAGTTACCTTGAATACTTCAATTTCTTCTTGGAGTAAGGGGATAGTAGTACCTGTCTCAAAGTAGATTTGTTACTTTTTTCTCATGTGAAAGTAAGTACTARTAAATATCTGATAATTTAGCTATTGTTGGTACTATTAAACTAAACTAGGCTAAGTAAGTTATTTTAGGTAGTTAGACTAAATATTTCTAAAATTGTTTTTAAAGGAAAAKAAACTATGATTATGTGATGTATGAATTCTGAATTTAGAACACTTAGACTACATTTAGGGCTGGGATGTACCTCCAGAGCCCTTGCCTAGAATGTGTGAGAAAACATGTGTAACATTCTAGCGTGGCTGACAAAGCATTTCTGGTTATTAGATTATTTATGGGTTAAGAGGCCTCATTGTTCATAATTCATTTGGTTACCTTATTAAAAGTTTTCTTCAGATGGGAATATAGTATGGCTCTAACGATCATCATGTGTCTTTTTTCTTTTTTCCCCAATAGAAAGTGTGGATACCCATCAGCGAAGTTTTGATATTGGAATTCAGATTGGCTATCAGCGACGCAATAAGGATGTGCTGGCTTGGGTTAAAAAACGCAGAAGAACTATTCGCAGAGAAGATTTGATCAGCTTCCTGTGTGGAAAGGTTCCTCCACCACGAAACTCTAGAGCTCCCCCAAGACTGACTGTAGTGTCCCCTAACCGAGCTACTTCAACGGAAACTAGCTCATCTGTAGAGACTGATTTGCAACCCTTCCGGGAAGCCATAGCTCTGCATGGTAAAGCCGTTTAAACATATTTCTTTGGAAAAATGGTTAAGAGTGTGCCTGTGGACCCATTTTCACATTTAGGTTTAGGTCCAGATATATTGTCTTTTTTTGTCTATTATAGTAAACACTTGCTCTAGAAATGTTGAAATAGTATGTAAGCTAAGAACTTAACAGGCAACTTTGTCAGCTAGCCTGTCCTAAAAATGTCTTTAGAAAGTTAGTTTGAGCTTATTGGTGTTACAATAACAATCTTTTTTCAACATTGACTAGAATTTGTTGCTTGATGCTTTCATGTTGTACATRTTTTCTTACTATTTTGAGTCAGGGGAAGTTCTTATGTCTTAAGAATTCTGTTATGTTTATAGTTGCTTGGAGAGCCGGTCCATGACAAGCAAGTAAAGCAGGTAATTGTTGGGTTAGTTCTCATGGGAACTGGGAGCTGCCTTTGAATACCCTTCATTATCTAGTGTGCTGTAGAGGATGGGAGTTGATGACCTAAGTGAGAGGGGACGGTTGGAAGTCATTGATTTTTTTTTTTTTCTTTCTTTTTTTTCCTTTGCCTGTTTCCCTCAGGTCCTCCTTGCTTTGATAGTCAGGATCCCTAGAGGGGCAACTAGTGGACAGGTCCATCACCACCTCCCCAGCCAGATCTGTCATCCAAAGGCATTCTCAGTTAAGGAGCTTGAGCACTTGCCTAGAATGTGTGAGAAAACATTAGTGTTAACTGGAGAAGCCTGGGGAGTGCAGTCAGTGATAAGTCTGTTGCTTGCTGCTCTTTAATGCAGACTTGTAGAATTGGAGACTTAATCACTTGTACCATAGCATGTAAAAACTGCTGCCAAAAAACCAGCAAAATAATAAGACTTGGTTGAAATCAAGATGAAAACCTTGATCATAAACAGATGACTAGGCAGGTAGGGGTAACTAGTGAGTTAGGTCATGAGTCCTGTTAAAAGTTAACATTTCTAGGCCATAGAGTAAGTCTTCTGAAACAAAGTTAACCTGCTAATAAAAAGAATGGGATATATATATGGCTTCTATAGCATTGAAACTCTAATTCTTGCAGAGATTCTCTTTTGACAAACCTTGATTCTTTCCTGAACCCTTAATCAGAACAGAGTTGGAAAAAGTTTTTAGTTTTTGACTTTCCTGATTGCAAGTTTGTTTATGGTAAGCTAAAATCAAAACCACTTACTACAGGAAAGCCCATGTTGTATGAATGCAGTCTTAAGACTGTACATTGTTTCTTATATCAGAATAAGGCTGTTCAGAAYATTTGCAAAGATGAGATCGATCTGTTCCTACTGAATTAGTTTCATATCTTTTTCCTTAAGTTTGGAAAACCAGCAATGAGATGTACATAGTTTGTCAGATTAATTTTATTGCATGATAATATGTGATGTAGTTGTGTCTCCTAGGCATTCTGATTTTCATCAAGTGGATTTATGACCCATTCCATACTTAAAGTATGCTTTTCTGTATTATACTACTATCCCGTAGAAGGTAGTTTTAAGAAAAATAAGTCACTCTTGCTATAGAATCTTAATGCAGCAGTGTGCATGGCAAAAAGGATGAGCTTGGTCCTCCTTGAAAAGCTGCTCTGCTCCCGCTCCCATCACACTTCCTCACATCCTGTGGTTTACTATTTTTTGAACTTTGGGACTCTTTAGTGATAAGATTGTAGAAGGAACTCTTTATAATTTTGACCTATGTTGAAGTTATTAGGGTTTTAGAAAGCTGAAACAAAACCATGTAGAAAATGATTTTTCCCTACAATAAGTTTGTAATGTAGTACTAATACATTAGATATAGAACATATTCTTGATTCATACCTCTGATTCATGTAGTTAAAATGTTAACTGGTGGTGGTGAAGTAATTTCCCCTTGAAAGAAGCTACAGAATCAGATTATACTGATTTTTTTGCTCTACTAGTGGTTTGCAGGAACATCAGTGTATTCAGGAGAATGCTAACTTGAGTATTCAAAGAAAGTARTTTGTATAATAAGAGGGCATTGTTAACTATAAATAGTAATGTAGATTAATGACTGACTTTACTCTTATTTGATATATGTAATTTATAAATTGAAGTGAAATCTAGGTTAAGGTGATATTTTTATTTTTTGTGGTACTGGGGCTTGAACTCGGTTCCCATGCTAGGCAAGCATTCTACCATGAAGTTAAGTCCCTAGGCCCTCCCCCCCCCCCTTTTTTTTTTTTTGAGATGGGGTCTCCCTAAGTTGGTGAGCCTAGCCTTGCACATGTCATCCTCATGTTTCAGCCTCCCAAGTTCCTGGGATTACAGGTGTGTGCTGCCATACTTGGCCCAAGGTKATTTTTAAACATATATTTGGGAACATTTTAATTTGGATAAATACTAAGCTGGAATTCTGCTCATCACATAATTTGCTTAGCCATATCTGAAGTACAACTAAAGTCAAATGGAAGTTTTTGAAATCCTGCATTGAAGGGAGAGTCTAAATTCATGAAGTTTTTATAGTGCAGAGAGATGTGAGAAAATAATCAGTATGTTGAGGCAGACTTGAGCTTATAATCCAAGTAAATATTCCATTCCTCCTCATGTTCTGTCTCTTTACAAAGAGGACAGTTTCTCCCAAAAGTTTTTTTCATCAGTTCACACCCACCCTACCAATATCTTCATCACATTTACTCATAAATATATCTAAAATCCCTTTGATAGAAAAGTGGCAAAGACTTGAAGTATTTGCAGAGCATTTCATGTAGACAGGATGTGATGTCGAATACCTTCATCAGCCTTGGGCTTAGTAAGAGACTTAYGTAAATAGTTTTAATAAAAGTATATCAATTTTCTGACCTGGTGGCACACGCGTATAATCCCAGCAATTTAGAGCCTGAGGCAGGAGGATCAAAAGGCCAACCTCAGCAACTTAGTGAGGCTCTAAGCAACTTAGCAAGACCCTGACTCAAAATTTAAAAAAAGGAGGGGGGTTGGGTTGTGGTGCAGTGTGGGTCAAGCTCCCCTGGGTTAAATCTCCAGTACCCCCCSAAAAAAAATATCAATTAATGGTTATCAGACCGTTCCAGTCCAGTCAAAGCTACTTTAGTTAATGGTTAGCAAGGTTTAAGACTACAATCCAGTGCTTTATTTTGATACTCTCTACATCATGTGGTTTCTTCCCTGTGTACTAAGGAACCCAGTCAGTCATTGGATGTTAGACTCAGAAATTAAATGGGTGCATGCTGAATTGATATTTGTCCTTTTCTTGTTAATCTTAAAAATTTACTGAGAGCAGAATCAGTAACTTTTGTTTTTGTGTACATAGTATTTCTGGTAGACCAAAACTCACCTGGACCATTTTGTGTTCTGCTTGTCTGTCAGCTCCTTAGTCACCTTTCTTCTAGAACTGCTTTTATCTTTAACGCTACTTCGGCTTCCCTGAGGATCTTTCACTGACCTGAATTAGATTTCCTAGGATTCTAGTGCTATTTGCCACTATCTGCAGGCCCTGGAGGGGCCACCTCACTCTTAACTTCCAGATCTGTACCTCTTGTTTAGACCTCCAGACCACCAAACGTGTGTCCCATTGTTCTTTGGAATACATCTCTTAGTGTGTACGATAGGCATTTTTCTSAGATGACAGTTCAGACTGACTTAGCTGTTCAGTAGATTTTGTGCAGTCTTTAGGAATATGTAAGTGAAAGTGCTTCTTCTGTTGAGGCAAATATTGATGACTTATTTTAATGTCATGAATGCTGGATAAGATATTCTCAGGGCAGAAAGGGATGTTTCACGATGTGGCTTTGCTATGGGTTCAGGGAGGCCCTCTGGAGGAGGTGAGCTGGGGCATAGGTTCTTGCTCCTCCCCTGTGTCTGAGTTGATMCAGTCACTAGTCCATCTTTCATGAGAGCACTGAGTGATCTTTTCACTGCTTATGGTTTCTCTGTGGCCTACAAGGACAAGGTCAGGCTCAGCATGGCATTATAAGGCCCTAATGGTCTGGTCTTGACCTGGRTCAGCTATCCCAGCCATACTATGAAATCTCTTTAATACTCCTGTCTCCTCTTTTATAACTAGTAGGACTGACCAGATGTCACTTCTGTGACTCGGCTTTCCTCCAGTTCCCCCATTCTCTAAAGCCTTACCTGAACAGGGCTTCAGTTTGTTTCCGTCACTGTTTCTTCCTGTGGCTGGGGCAGTATTAAACAGGGCCCTTGTCTTGTTCCTTCTGGCTTTGACAGAACCTAGCAAGGAATCTGGTGTAGTTGTAATCTGAATTTACCGTAGGGAGAACACAGAGGTCTGAAAAATGAATGCATACAGCATGGTGGGAACCAAGAACCTTTGGAAAGAGTTGAGGATTATAGTCCCCAGATGACTGCAATCAGAAGAGAATCTAACCTGTGTATCTAGGGGTGTTAGAAAGGAATCTCACATTAGAAAACTTGGTGGTTTGCTGTGGCCTTAGGACAGAAACATTAGAGCTGCTATTTTGTGAGTCCTTTGTTTCAGTATCAGGATAAGGAGATGCTCATGCAATCCTCATACACTCTGGATTATTACCATTTTACTGATGAAGATGGGTTAAGATGGAGCAGGTTAACAAATGGCTCTTAAAATACATCCTCTTAACCACCATACCTCTGTAGATTCAAAGTGTCTTGCTTCCTACTCCTTCCTTTGTAGGGTTTGGGGGTAGTGTGGGAAAGGTCTTAAGGCTTCTGTGTTGGGGAATACATCGATTTTTGTGTGTCTGGGGCTTTCCACCATAAGTGAATCTGGATAAGTAGGCTTGAAAGTGGTTTGTGACCACCACGGTTGGAAGAGCACACAGGCTTGTATAGAGGCCCTCATCCCCACATAATCTTGGCCCTAATCTCTCAAAACCAGTCTCATTTGTGATGGCGATACACTATAAGGTGACGTAGGAGGAGAACTAGTCAAGTCACCTAATCTATCACGATGCTGTTTTGCCTTTAGGAAAGAGGCTTGCTGATTAGCTCTAGTTGTGTCCTGGCATGAGTGTTCAC